CCCTCTACTGGGCATGAGCTCGGGGTCCGCCCCACGGCTGCGCGCTCTCCAGCGACACCTGGGCTCCCCGGAGGTAGGGCCGGTTCCCGTCCCTTGGGCCTGGGCTCAGACCTGGAAGCCGGGGACACAGCTGGGAGAACGGTGCGCACAAGGCAATGGTGGGTGGAGGGGAGGGCCCAGTGGGGACGGATGGGGGACAGGTCAGCCGAACTGCACTTCAGTGTGTCCCCACAGCCTCCATGATCCCCACCCCAGGGACATTTTGGGATCTCTGTCCCCAGGCTATTTACTCTAACTGCTGCCTCCTTGAGGCTGGTGTGGACACAAGGCTTGTCCTGTTCCTCTCCTGGCCTAGGGCAGAGGCATGGAGCCAGTCAGCAGCCCGCTGACCACACATGTGCTGGACACTGCCTCAGGGCTCCCGGCCCAGGGCCTCTGCCTCTGTCTGTCGAGACTCGAGGATCACGGCCAGCAGTGGACAGAACTGAGGAGAAGGTAGGTTTGGGGTAGCACTGAGTCCAGAGCTCCTCCCCCACCAAGGTGCACCCCCCCCCCCCCCCGCCCCCCCGGGGCACTGTATGGCTCTTAGATGCAGGGACTCTTCAGCCGTCTTGGCACAGGTTAAAACATTCTTTTTCAGCCTTTTTAAACCACACAGCAGCGGAATCGGCTGCTTGACCTTTCATTCTTCCTAAGTCTGTTTGGATGGCATCATTGGCTGAAAAGATGCCTCTCCGGTCAGGGGTCAGGGGTCAGACTCCACTGGTTAAGGCCTGAGGAGGAATCCGGAAGGCTCCCCTGTCACCAGACAGCACTTTCTCCTCTTCTATTCTCACTGCAGCCTAATGGCCCTTCCACAGAGACAGGGACCACCCGCACCACACCTGGCAGCTGCGCTCTCCGTGGCCCTGGCTTCTACGCCACGCTCAGCTCTGCTGGGGGAGGCCCGGCCCAGGCTGGCATTTCTGCACTTGGTGGCCCTGTGAGCAGGGAACAGACTCTTGCTGAGGTGGCAGTGGGGAGCTGGGCCCCAAAAGTTCAGGGCCTGAGGGTGTGGAGCTTGTCCCCTCCCTGTTCAGCCCCTCACAAAGGCTGCGGGCCCAGGTCCCATCTGAAGGTCAGCTGTGGTCTTGGAAGAACACATGGAGTCCCCTGGGGGGTCACAGGGCCCATTCCCAACACCCACAAGTGCTGGTGAGTGATGCTCTCTGTGGCCACAGTGCACGCTCACCGGCCTGCACAGCTGGGGACATGGAGACAGGAACAGGAACTGACCCAGAAAGCCACACACACAGACAACATGACTCATCCAGGTTATAAAACAATAGGAATAATAGAACCCATCTTACATTTTTTCCGTGTATAAATAAGCATACTTAAAAATAGAGAGTATCTGGAAAAATATAGGTCAAACGAAGTGACGATTGCTCCAGGGGTGGATTGTGGGAGGTTTTCCCCTTTCCTGCTTCTCTGTGCTGTGGAACAGCTGTTCCGGAACCCCGGGCACCAGAGTCTCTCCCAAGTCAGGCTGCAGGGCGTCTGAGGATGTGAGGTGTGGAGACCCAGACAGCCAGGCAGGGGTGCACCTCATCCCCTCTCTCCCCAGCTACACCAACCCCGATGGACGCTGCCCTGGGCTCCTGCTGCCAGGCCAGATGAAGGCGGGCACCTACAAGCTGACCTTCGACACCGAGGGTTACTGGAAGAAAAGGGGGCAGGACAGCTTCTACCCGTACGTGGAGGTGAGGGCCACAGGCTGGCATGGAGGTGGAGTCCTGTGATTCACCATGACCCTGAGGTCCCGCAGTAGGCAATACCCCTCCCCCCTCTCCCAGGGCAGTGGCAGGCTGTGAGTGCACCTGCTTTGAACTCCCAGGAGAAAAGTGTCCCTGCCCTGGCCCTGGGTCAGGCTGTGGGGAGCAGGGTCGAGAGTGACTCAGCCCCTGTGGACACAGGTGTTGAACAAGCCCTGCCCAATTCACTGGGCCCAATCTTGCTGCCTCCCCCTTCACCTGACCCGATTTCAGGGTGGGCCCCTTGGGAAGCTTGGCAGGCCCAGGGGCCCTCAAGCCAGGAGCTGTATCTAGAGCAGATCCAGCCTTGTCAACAGCCTTGTCTCCAGTTCACCGTCAGGCGCTGGCTGGTCTGGGGCTCCCTGGGAACCAGCCCTTGGCCCGCAGTCCGGCTTCTCCCGGGGAGCTCTAGGGACAGGCCCTGGCTCCCCCTGGTGCCTTCTGTTCCCAGGTCGTTTTCACCATCACAAACGAAACCCACAAGTTCCACGTCCCCCTGCTACTGAGCCCATGGTCCTACACCACCTACCGAGGGAGCTGACCACCAGCTGGCCCGAGAGCACCAACGCCCTCACTGTGGCCTGAGCCGCCCCCAGACCTGCACAGGGCTCCATGTTCCTCACGGGGCCTCAGGTCCCACTTCCTGGGGGAGGTTCTGGCCCCCAATTCCTAGTGGCACTGTGACTTGGGCATCAATAAAGTTATGTGGCACCTGCAGGCTGCTGCAGTCAATGGGCAGAGCCATGCTGGTGCTGCCCAGCCTGAGGTGTGTGTATGGTGGCGTGGGGACAGCTGGAAGGGAAACAGACTGGCCATGGCCCTGGCACTGCTTCTACCACAGTCGTGCACCAGGACACGCAGCAAACATGAAAGCCTTCATTTGCTGACCCAACAAATCAAAAAACACACCTGCTGTCCGTGGGTGTAAAAGGGGGTGTTATGCAAGGAGAAGTCCTGGGTGGGGGCTATGTTGGGGTGCTCACAAGTCCCGCCGGGCCCTGGCCCAGGGTCTGCCCAACCACGGCCGTCTCCAGGGGCTTGAAGCCCACGTTGTCCAGAGGGATCCCGAAGGCCAGGAGCTTCGCCTCGTAGGTGCGCAGCAGGTCGCTGTGGGCCTGTGGGGAAAGCGCATGTTGGGAGGGGCCAGGAGCCCAGCAAGGGCTGCCCCCTGGGCAAGGGCAATGCCAAGGCTAGCCCTCACTTAGGGCACCCAGCTCTGTGGAGGGTGGGAAGGAGGGACCACAAAGAATACTGATGGGGAGCACAGGTGACCCCCACATCCCAGAAGAGCTCAGGTATGGGCACCAGTGCTGCCAGGTCCATGGACATGGTTCCGTCCCCTCTGGAAAATAGGCGTTTTTAAAAGGGGGAATGTCGTCGGTGGCTGCAGGGTCTGAAGAGGTGATGCCTGAGAAATGCTTGGCGCGTGGCTGACTCAGAACTAACGCTGCAGAGGGCACAGTGCCCTCACCGTCCTCACACCCAGTGCAGGGACTGGGGTCGAGAGTTAGAGGGGAACTGAGTGTAGCTCCAGAGAGCACTGCCCTTCATGGGGCTCAGGCCTCCTGACAACCAGATACAACTTATGCAAATCCTCCCCAGAGCTGCACAGGCCAGTAGTTGCCACCGATTTTGTGTGTACGAGTTTCAGGGTGTCGGGGCGTCCAGAGAAGGGTCGGATGGGCAGGTGAGGCTGGGAGGGTCGAGGGAAGGCCCAGCACCTCACACGCCTTCATCTTGAGGCTGCACAGCCCGGGGCTTGCACGTAACAGAAGCAGCAGAAAAAAGAATTATGGGCACGTCTGAGTCACCCGTGAGGTGCTGCCCTTGGTAAATGCGTGCCCAGGCAGCTATGTGTCTGCATGACCACAGGCAAAGCCCAGATACCTGTGGGGAATGCCAGAGCCAGGGCGCCGGGTGCAGGGCCCAGGCCGCTGGGACTCATGGGACAGACAATAGTGGGGGGAGGGAGGTCAAACAGGCCTCAACGCCAATGCGCACTTTGGGCACAGAAATGGTGTGCAGCACTCATTGGACTCACAGAGGACAAAGGGTAGACCTGTGTCTGCTCCCCGCTTGCAGGTGCGGAGGAAGCCCCTCCCATCGCCCCAGAGGCCAGGAGGGTGGGAGAGTGAGGGTCACACGACAGGGATGTGGGGGTCAGGAAGAGCTGCTGGAAGAGCCGAGCCCCCTCCTTTCCCAAGGGTGGCCCTGGAGGAACACCAAGGCAGGCGGGGCTGCCCTAAGCCATAGGCAGCTGGACCCTCAGGCTAAGGTAGGAATCGCAGGGTCATGGGTGGGGGCGTGCACTAAGGCAGGTGGGGCTCCTCGTACCTTGCAGACACGGGCCAGCTCGTACTGGAGGTCCTTGATGGTGCTGTTCTTCGATTCCAGAACGTCCTGAGGAGAGAAATGCAGGCCTGAGTTTGAGACCTGTCTTTGGGCCAAGACAGACTGGGCAGCTGTAGGTCTGGCATCTGGACTCTAACGGTGACCCCAGATGTCCAGGGAATAGTGGCCTGGCCCCATTCCTGTGTGTCCACACAGGGAGCAGGCTGCAGAAAGATCCCCCAGGAAGAAAGGGAGACGGCGCCTGCCTCTGGAAGGAGATGGGTGCTGAGAAGTGAGAGGTGCAGGCCTGGTGGGTTCCAACCAGGACAGCCAAGAGCCAACCCACACCCACCCTAGCCATTGGTGCAGCTGCAGTGACCCTCGTGGGTGAGACTGTTTTTTATCCCCCTCATCACATCACTGGTGCTCCACAGGGGCAGGGGCACACAGTCAGAGATGAGCCCCAGACCCAGGACCCCAGTGCTGCCTACCCAGACAAGGCCCCTCCTATGTGCCTGCAGTGCCCCAGGCCCCCTGCCCCAAGCCGGTCCCAAGGGACACGGGTCCCACAGGCACTGTGGCCCACTGAGCCAGGACACAGGAACGACCTCACCTTGGCTTCCCCAGCCCCTCCCCCATTGTGACAAGTCCATCCTGCTCAGCCTTTCCTGCAGGTCCCTGTGGGCTCTTGGATCCAGTCTGTCCTCCCCAGAACCTTCCACAGTCCTCCCAGCCCCAAGCTCAGGGACACAGCTGACAGCTTCAGAATCTCCCCCCACCCCAGCTGGCAGCACCAAGTGCCAGCTGCAGGCCCCGGGGCAGGCTGGGTGCGGGAGCGGCTGCCATGCTTTACCTACAGGTGTGACCTGACAGGCTCAGCCTCTGGGCCTCGGATGGTGTGAGCCAAAGGGGGTTCATGTTCACCTGAACTGCGGACGTGACTCACTGGTTGGATGGAGCACTGGCCCGCACACCGAAGGGTCTCGGGTTCGGTTCCCAGTCAGAGCACACACCCAGGTTGTGAGTATCATCCCCAGCTCCGATCGGGGCAAGTGTGCAGGAGGCAACGAATTGATGTGTTTCTTTCACATTGATGCATCTCTCTCTCTGTCAAGACAATGGGAACATATCTCTGTTGCAGGCTCTTCCCCATCTGGGTCCCTGGTCAGGGCGCGTGCAGGAGGCAACCAATCCATGTGTTTCTTTCACATCAATGTTTCTCTCTGTCTTTCGCTTTCTCTTCCACTCTTCCAAAAATCAACAGAAAAATATTGTCAGGTGAGGATTAACAAAAAATAAATATAATAAAAATACATAAAAAATAAATGTTTTTTCAATGATGCCTATGCTACCGCTCAGGATAACACACACCGCATCCGGATGGTGAGGAGGCCTTAAACCGATGCCCCAGGTCTCTCTCCATGAAGACCCCGTCCAACCTGGAGGGATCTGCTTCTGGGACAGGCGTCTGGGGGGAGACATGCAGGCAGCTGCACACCTGGCTCTGTCTCCCAGGTCCCCGGCCTGGCAGTAGCAGGTGGCCCAGTTGGCTGGGAGCTGAGCATCAGCCACACTCCCCTGGCAGCACCAAGACCCCTTACCTCACATCACCAGTTCTGTGTGTGACAACCCCACTCCCACATCAGGTCGGGGAGCAGAGGGACAAGGCCCACCTACAGGTTCTGTGGGGCTCCGCCTGCGAGGCAGGAGCGACCCTGACACCTCAGCTGACCTGCTGGCCTGAGGAAACAGAGGTCTCACCTGCCCTGACCACTGCTGCACCCGGTGCCGGGCCATCCCAGCACAGAAGGTGCCATGAACAGCTGGATTCAGGTCAACAGATGCTCTAGCCTCTGCCCAGACGTAACTCCCTCCGGGAAGCCCTGCCTGACTGCCCAGCTGGGACACAGCTGAGCGGCTTCCCTGCGAGTACAGGGGACTCAGCTGCCCCCAGGCCCATGTCTGAGTCAGCTGCCAGATGCCCAAGAACTCAGGCCCACAAGTTCCAGAACAGTTCAGACCTAGAGCCTCACAGGCTAAGCTGAACCCACCCTAAGCAGCAGTAGCAGTGAGCTGAGCTCTGAGTGAGAGCAAGTGTGGGGAGCCTCTCCCCAGGACTAAAGATGTTGTTCACTGGAATGATGCAAGCTGCACATGCTTGGGGTGTCGACAGGAGACAAGTGACCCCCAGCCAGAGCCCCTGCAGGCCACCTGCCAGGGCAGGAGCATGGGCACCGTCCAGCTGCCACCCAGAGCCCATCTGGGACCTACCTCCAGCTTGTGAGACAGCAGGGTCAGGGTGGCAGGGTCTAGGTTGGAGGCTGTCAGCACCTCATTGAGCTGCAGCTCCTTCTTCTCCATGGCGGCACTGAGGGCCTGCAGCTTGCGCTCCAGGAGCAGGTTCTTGAAGCCCGTCTTCTGCTGCACCTCCAGGATGGCTGCCGTAAACTTGCTGTAGAGCTCATCCCGCTCCCGCTGCACCTGAAGGGACGCCTCCGCTGGGCCATCTCGCTGGCAAGAAGCCCTCCCACTTCTGCCCCTGGGCCAGAACACACCTTTCACTGTGCTGTCTGCACCGTGCCCACCCACAGCCAGGGAAACCTGTGGCGTCGACACTGCCTGCCCCCCCACTCTCTGCAACAGAAGTAAAGGTGTGCAGCTGTACACACCATGGGAGGCAGGAGGACACGCCAGTGGACGTGAACCTGGCCCATGGTGTGCCCTGCTCTGGCCCATGGCACACCCTGCACTGGCCACAGAGAACCCTGCACTAACAAACAGGGCACAGGTGGCAATGCTCTGCCCTAGGCAGACCCCAGACTCTGCAAGGAGGACCTCTCAGGCTCATGGAAATCTAAGAAAAGCACATTCAATAAGACATTCTCCGCCAATTATACATCAGCAGAGTGGAATTCCGGGGAGCTGATGCAGCAGGAAGTGACCCTTGGGCACTTTGGGTGAGATCACCCCAAAGGACAGGCCTTATCTAAAATCTGAATGCAAACCTTCCACCACGAGGAACTGACTTTCCTAAGGAGGCTCCCACAGGTGCACAAGATAAGCTGACACTAGAGGACGAGCAAGGGCGTCCCTAGGGGCACCAGCTGCATATGGCGGCACTTGCGGGGGGCGGAGGGGGTGGGGGCATGGGCAACACCAGAATGAGCTGCTATGCAGGTGCAATCTGGAAGCCGCGGGACAGACCTGCGAGATGGAAGGTGCTGCCTCTAAGGCAGGAAGTCCCACCCACGCTGGACACACAGGAGGAGCTGGGAGGAGACTCGGAAGCTGTTACCACTCGTGAGGATCAGCGCTGAGCAGCAGGGGAACTCTCCTGTTTTTACTGAGACTCAGGACTCCATGAGGTCCTCCCATGTGCACATACTAATCTGGTACTAGATCATGGATGTAGAGGAAAAAGGTGCCGGCTGGAGAGGCCAGGCTGCCTCTGTGTGTTTCACACAGAGGGGACAGGTGGGCAAACTGCTCCCACCAGGGATCTGCTCTGTGTGAGACCCAGGCCTCCCCAGAACGTGCCCCGGGCTTCCTCGAAGGCTGCGTAGGGTGAGGAGCAGCAACAGGACCTCCTGGAACCGGTCCTGGCTGGGCTGCTGGCTGCTCACCTGGATAAACCGCTGCTCCAGCACCTCGTGCTCCCACTGCAGGCCCTTGAGCTCTTTCTCTGAAACTTTCAAACGTGCCTTTGTGCACTGCCGAGAGAAGAGGGTGGGGCACAGAAGGCACTCAGGACTCAGGCATGCACACAAGGAGGCTCCTGGAGATGGCAAGGCCAGGAATACTCGCCAGGAAGAACTGGCTCAAAGACACAAGTGGCTCATCCCACCAGGGCAGTAATGGGCACCAACTCTACATCCCCCTCCCCCTCCTCCCCTCCCCGCCATCTCCAGTCACAGAAAACAGAGATTCAGACACCCTCCTGCCCTAAGGGCCAAGCCCTGCACAGGCCCCAGGAGCCATCTCATGGATGTCCCTTCTCTCCTGAGCCCAGGAGCCAAGGGGGGGCGGGGGCGGTGAAGGCAGTGACACTCACAACCAGGATCTGCTTGTCCCTTTCGTGGTCGCCCAGTTTCTTCTGCATCTCGCTCATCTCCTCCCGAGCCTTCTGCAGCGGTTCCGCCAGGCGCCGGTTCTGCGCAGACACCTCCAGCATCTCCTTCTCGAGGTGCTCCTCCTTCTTCCGCATGTCTTCCATCTGCTCCTGTGGGCACAGTCGTGTGCAGGAGGGCTCAGCAGGCAGGGCCAGGGCTGCGAGCTCACCTGCCACAGGCATGTCCTGCCGCTGTGGGCACACAGGCCAACGAGACCTGTTTTATGTACAAACACACACCTACTCTGAATGTTCTGGGAACGAGGTTTTCATGAAATCAGGTTTGTTCAGTGCGCCATGAAGGGCATTCTGCTTTGTGGAAACCTCATCCCTGACAGCACCTGGGTGGCAATGACACCTGCCCATGACTATAAGCTAGGCTCCAACCACAGTCCTGCTTGAGCCTTTACTCTCAGAACAGACACTGTCCTACTCATTCTCCTGCCCGACATTAGGGCAACAGCCTGTTTTCAGCTACAGGTATAGGGAGGTTACATTCCCTGTGAATTTCAATCAAGGACAGGGAAGGGCATTAACAGAGTTTCATAAGGGATAGTGCGTCTGGGGGCGAAGAGCTGCGTGTGGACCCGGCGTGGCCCCAGCACCTTGAGGGAGTTGATGAGGGCCAGGTTGTTGAGGGTGATGTCGTTGTAGTAGTTCTTCATGTCTGTGAACGCCTCCTCGTGCCGCTGCATCAGCGTGCTGATCTGGCCGTTCTTCCTCTCCTCCACTTCGTGGATCTCCGTCTTTCTCCGCAGGTCGAGCTCATCCCTCAGCATCTTCATCTTCTTGTCATACTTGGCCTCAATTTCTGCAAGGCAGCAGCACCCACGGCAGCTGAGCAGAGAGCAGCCAGCAGTGCCAGTGCTGCATGCTCACCTGCACAGGACGGGGCTTCCCTGGGTTTTCCCGCTGACGCTCAGAGGACACGTGAGGCACACACCACGCGTGCTGTCCTCCAGGCCCTGCGACTCCACCCCTGCAGGGGCTCGCTAGCGACGCGTCAGCCCATCCCGTGGTCCCCAGCCATGACCCGTGTGCCATCCAGTCACAACACAGGGCCGTGTGACTCAAACTACACAGACAGCCTCGGGCCAGGAGCCATGGGAAAGACTAAGAACACTGCCCACGAGACTGATGACTACCCCCTGCTCCGAGGCACCACTACTGACGGGAGTGGGGAAGTGGGTGGTGACCACAGCCTCCCTCAACTGACATAGAAAACTCCTGGTTCTGGGATGCTGAGAGGTCCGTCAGCCTTAAAAGTGACCACATTCTCTCTCCTCGCAGGTCCGGGCTGTGTTGACCTGGTTTGCCAGCCTGGGAAGGTAAGCCCTGGGGGGAGTCACGCTCTGCTGGGACGGCGCCGCAGGGAGAAGACACTGACCTCGCACTTGCCTCTCAAAGTCGTTGCGCAGCTTGGTGATCTCCTCAGTGTGTTTCTGCAAAGGTGGAAGCCGGCCGTCACGAGACGACAGAGAAGCCGCTCGGCAAACCCTCTGCTGTTCTGGCGGGTCCCGGCGCTCCCAGCGCACACACCACATCCAGAACAACATGGTTTTGGTAACTTCCACATTTCAAAACTCACTTGGCTAAAGTCAGCTCTGAGCCTGAGAAAATGTTCTCAGAGATTCTAAGGACTGACAGCAGCCGGCGGCCCCTTGCTAGCCTGCCTGCAGGCGGAGCCATGGCCGCAGTGTCCAGACCCAGGGGCCTGCCACATCCTCTGCTGTGGCTTAGAGCAACCCTAAGAACTTTTTCCAATAGACGGCTATTGTATCAATTCTGAATATAAAGTGGTAATTATTTCTATAGCAGTATTTTTACACAAAAGGGAACTCTGACCACATAACCAATCTTTATACAAGCCTTGGGTAAGCCGACAGCCTCCCATCACTGAATTCACTGGAAACCAGCCTACTGTGTGCCTGTGTCAGGAGAGATCAGACCACTCGTTTTTATTTATGTATTTACTGAATCTTCACTCAAGGATATTTTTTTCCCCATTGATTTTTAGAGAGTGGAAGGGACAGGGAGAGTCAGAGAGAAACATCAATATGAGAGAGACACATTGACTGGTTGCCTCTAGCATGGCCGGGGATCGAGCCTACAACCGAGGTCCATGCCCTTAAACCAGAATCAAACCCTTGACCCTTCAGTCTGCAGGTTGACACTCTAACCATTGAAACAAACCAGCTGGGGCCATTCTTGGGGGTCCAACTCTTTCACACCCTCAGCCTTGGCTGCAAACCCTTCAGTTTCTGTTTTCCAGATGCAGTGGAGCCTGGCTCCCTAAACAGGAGACAAATGTGCTGACAAAGTCTTCCCAACCTGCCACCAGGAGGAGCCTCTGAAAACCAAAGTCACATGCACTCTCTCTGCCCAAATGCCCCACAGGCCAGACTCAGCCAGGGCCCAAGCCCGGGCCTCCCCGTGGTTTCTGAGGCCAACGAGCTAGGACCTACCTGTTCCTCTGGCCTTCATGCGGCTCATCCCCTACCTCTTCTCCTGGCCTGGTCTCCCCAGCCTGGATCAGATCTTACTGCCTTTACCCAAATGTCACCTTCTCAGTGAGCCATTCCCAGAACTCCATGTAGGAAAATGCAACCCACTCTCATTCCCATTGCCCCACTCACTCTGTCCTTCCTTATAGCCGAGGGATGTGCTGTGCGGATCTGACACATGATTTTGCCTTCTCTGTTGTGTGTAGTTTCTCCTTTGCAGACCACGTGCCACACGTAGAAAGGCATTTTATCAGTCCTCCCAGAGATCAGAACGAGGCCTGGCACCTTCCGGGCACCCCCACCATCCTCGCTCAGAATTGACCAAAATCTCTCAAAAGGCAGTCAGGTGCCCATGGGCCCAGCTTGTATGACAAGCCGCCGTGTGCCTGTGGACTGGGGTGCTGGACACCTCAATGACTGTGTGTTTCCCAATGCACCTGACAGCCTGGGAGCGCAGCTGGGTGTCAGGTGTCAGGAGCACATGCAGAGGAACCCTGACTGGTTTTCCTCATGTCAGTTTGTTGCTCAAGTCGGAGACAGAATTCTGTACTTGACACCAAAGCGGATCTGCCTAGCTGCACGTTTTAAAAAAATATTTCAATTAATTGCCAAAATGCGGGAGTTTTTAAACAAAAAATTTGAATTCCCAGTTGCTGTTCAACACCCAGCTGCCAATGGATGTACCCACCAGCCGCAGGTTCTTCACCACCACCTCGTTGGCCAACTCCTGCTCCTTGAGCTCCACCTTCAGTGCCCGCATGTCCTTGCGCAGCGTGCCCTCCTGCGTGCGGTGCTCCTTCTGGGCCAGCTTCATGGCCACGGTGCCCTCCGCCTTCATCTCCGTCAGGTTGTTCTGGTGCTCGTACAGCAGGTGCTTCACCTTCTGCTTGTAGACCTGCGGGCAGGAGAACGACCACTTACTCACCGGCACACACACACACACACCTGCACACGCATGCTCACCTGCTCGCATGCACACACATGCTCACCCACACACACTCCTGCACACCCATGTTTGCCGGTATGCACATCATCTTTTACAAAGAATACCTTTAGGCTCCCAGGGTGAAAGACACAAAGGGCTGTAAACCCAGAACAAGGAGATGAAATGCCTCTCACCCTGACCAACATCGCAGGAGTGACCCAGCGGGACAGGTGGCGGCCCCACTCACCTTGATCTCCACCTGGTGCCGCTCCTCGGCCTCCTCCATCTCCCGGTCTTTGTTCCGCAGCTCAGCCTTCTTCTCCTCCAGCTGCCGCCGGGTGATCTCCCAGAAGGTGTGGATTTTGTCCCGCTCCAGCTGGAAGTAGTTGCGCTCCTCCCGCTCTCGGTCCAGCTCCTCACGGATGCGGCCGATGTGCCCCTCCACCTGCAGGCCGAGCAACCTGTGAAGGACCCAGCAGGGCCCACCCACCCGGGGGGGCACATGGAGGAGAAAGGCAAGCGAGAGGGAGGGGTCCCTCTCATCTAAAAATCCTTCAGAGCTGAAAGGAGGTAAAGCACAGTGCATCTGACTCAGGCCTCCACAGAAGACAACATCCCCATGTCATGGCCTTTGGTGCCACTCAGAGTGTAACAGGCTCCCACCTACTGTGACTGTCTCACAGTTAGATCTTGCCATGACTCAATAAATACATTTCTTAGAAACATGCACTTTCTAGCTTCTCTTAAAAAAATCAGAAAATAGCCCAGCAGGTGTGGCTCAGTGGTTGAGAGTCGACCAATGAACCAGGAGGTCAGTTTGATTCTAGGTCAAGGTACATGCCCCAGGTTGCAGGCTCAATCCCACTGTAGACATGCAGGAGGCAGCCAATTGATGATTCTCTCTCATCATTGATGTTTCTCTCTCTCCTCTCCCTCTACCTTCCTCTCTGAAATCAATAAAAGTATATATTAAAAAATTAGAAAACAGCCCCGGAGTTGGACGCACAAAAGGTGGCTGTTCAGGGGCCTGTCTGCAGCTGCCTGGCTCTCACTGCCACCTGGACCCTGGGCCCTGGGCCCTGGCACCAGACGCTGCCGAGGTGTCCATGCCACTGCAGACACACCACCGCAGGTCAGGGCTGTCTCCACAGGGACCGGAAGTACACGGGGAGATAAGAAACAGTTCAACTGCTGGGGCGATGCAGTGTGCAGCCAGTGAGCTCTCCAGAACACAGACTGGCCCCACCACCCTCTGCTTCAACCGGTTTCCCTGCAGGGCCAGTTCTCACTTAATGTCACCAACAGGTCCTGAAGCTGTGAAGACAAATGACGTGTAAGGAGACCAATGTTACCACTGGCTAAGTGACACAAGAGCTAAGTTCCCCTGGCGTCTCATCAACATTGTAACGCTACGTTATTTAAGGACCGGCTGTAAAACAAAGTCCCTCTTACCATCAAGGGCCCTTGCTCAACATCCAGCTTCAGCTCATATGACTCCGTTAGTCTGCTTTGTATTTATTTTTATCTTAACACTATGCAAAGACAGTCAGGGTTCTGACAGCAACACCAGTTGACACAGACCCCGCAGGTCCGTGGCAGATGCACACGGGCAGTCCCATCGTCAGAACACGGAGGCTGGAGTGGGCACCAGTTTCCTCTCGTGGTTTGCCATGTGCTGCAGTTTTCAGGGGCCTTTTAGTTAAAATTGTCATTACACAGTTATGTTATCTAGCCCCTGCCTTCATCAACAAGGACACGTGGACACAATAATTCCTAATGTTTCATGGTAAATAAACAAGAAGACTATAATGCATGTACTATGAAAACAGCTCCGTAGCGTCAGATGCATGAAGGGGTAAAACTGAAAGGGAATACAAAAAAAAAATGAAAAACAGCTTTTATACCAGAAAAAAAATTTGCTTCCAAATTCTTACCAGCCTATTAAAAAGTTCTTCAATACTGTGCCTGAGAGCTTTGGAGCTGACAGGGATTATGGAGATGGGGAAGGATATGCTGGTTTAAACAGAGCTGCAGGAGCCAGAATGGGGGAGATGGGCACAGAGGGCAAGATGAGGGGTGTACTGGTCTGACAGAGGTTCATGCAGACAAACAGCCAGGGGGATGAGACGGAACAGCACCCACCCACGCACTCCACCCAGGACTAGACCAATGCACAGGGCCAGCCTGCTCACCTGCTCCTTGGTCATGTCCTCCGGAGCAAGCCCGTCCACAACCGGGGTGCCTTTGCCCTTCCCTTTCTTTTTGGGTGCCTGTGGTTAAAAAGAGAGGCCTGGGTAAGGGAGGGAGGCGTTGGGTAATGGATTCCCTTTCAGGTTGGCTCTGGTCCCCTCCTGGGCATTCGGGGGGGTGAGGGGTACCTGATTGGAGCCTCCCTCTCCTGCTCACTGTCTTGTGCCCACCCGCCTGCAGCACATCACTCTACCCTAAGCTCCCACCCTTAACCACACGCACATTCTCTGCTGGCACCTTTGGAGCAGCAAGAAGGAGAAATCTTCCTTTTCAGAAGAGAACATTTTTTCCCCTCGGAGATTAAGGGAAGGAAACTGGACCAAATCCACTCCTTAATACATGGCAGAGACTGCCTTGGTGTGGGTGCAAAATGTACTGGGCCTCAAAAGGGAGAACCCCAATACCAGCCTCAGATGTGACCGTGTGGGCTATGTTTGGTAACCACCACAGAGAATCACGCAAGAAACTTTTGATATGTGTTGGCAGAAATGCCTCGATAGCAATGATCAGGACGATAATATGAGACTGTCTTTGTTCCAAATACGAAGCTCCTCCAGAAGTTCTGGTCTGGGGGACCACAGCACCCACCCACCGAGGGGCCTGCTCAGCCGTCAGGCCTCTTTTACCAGCTTTGACCAGATGGCAGAACCTTCCAGGCCACTCCCTTCCTGAGCAGGCACTGAATTTCCAAGTCCTTATCCTCTGCCCTCACTTCTCTCAACTGTCTGTGGCCCACACTTGTGTGTGTCTATATGTGTCTGTAACGCTTTTTGTGTCTATATCTCTCTGATTACAAAACAATTCTGTGGAAGTCTTATAAACATAGAGAAACAAAAAGAATATCATGTCCCTAAAGCTAGTAATAAGTAGAAGTATTTTGGTGGCCTTCATCCAGTTGATATTCAAACACCCATCCACTGACACCTTCCCTCCTAATGTACTAATTAATCCCTCTACTCCAAGAAGTCTGCCATCAGAGGTCCTTCACCCTTAGCTTCTGGGACATTCACAGCCGAATACAGCGGCTCCCCACCAGACTCCTCTCCACCAGCTACCTGCCCCATGCATCTGCCTGGGAACTGCGCTACCGACAACTCCTCTATGGGGTGGGTGGCGGTGGGGACAGCGGACGGCCCTGTCACGTGTGAGAGACAAATGAGGTCTGACTGCTCCCAGCCTCTCCGAGGAACCAGCATTTCCGCACCGCTGGCCCTGCCCTGGGCGTCCATGAAACTGGACATTCTGCCCAGGACCCCGTGCTGTACAGGGACCTGCAACCGCCCTGGCGCCCTGGTTTCTCCATCCCGGAGACTGGGGGTCCTAGGTTATCCCCTGCGCCCCATTGCCCTGTTTGGGGACACGTGTGCCCCAGGCCCCTGGGAGAGCCCAAGGCTATGACGGGCTGAGCCTTCCGGTCCAGGAAGGGCATCCCTCGGGGTCTCTGCGCCCAGGGCCGGCTCCCGGGGGCCGGCTCCGCGTCCTCCTCACCATGGCTCCCGGCGTCCGGACCCGCAGCGACCCCCACGACCCGAAGACAAAAGCTCACACTCCGCAGAGGCTGCGCTGTCTCCCAGCAACCGCTGGGCGGTCTCGCGAGAAGTATCGAAGATCCTCGCGAGACTCCGCACGCAGCCACAAGCCCTGGCAACGGTGGGAGCGCGTCCCTACCAACGCGCGCTGGGCCCAGTCCCGTGTTGCGGAAGTCGGGTAGGTTTTGTCTGCAGCTGGGCATCATCCACACCCGTGATCTCCCCGACAGCGAAACGCGTTTCCGTTGCTGGATATACGTGTACACTGCCGCCCTTGCCCGCTGTTTCGTCCACTTTAACCTACAATGCCTAGAAAAGCACTTATCGGTGCTTGATAAAAATGCCTTTAATGAAGGAGGGAGGGAGGAATTATCCAAATTAGATTCAAAATTTGGGCTGAGACTCTCCCCGTGAGCCTGACCTCACCCTGTCCACCTCTGAAGATTCCTTCCCTGCTGGTCTGGTGAGGATGCAAAATAGCCAGGTTTCCACAAACCATCTGATTAAAAAAATGTAAGGAAGCTCCAAAGTTTAGAAATCACGAAGTGTCCCCTTCACAGAAGTAAACAGCTCAGCCTGAAGAAGCTTACACACACACACACACCCGTGAGGAAAAACTAGAAACTCTGCCGGAAGACTCCAGATGGGCAGAAAAGGTGAGATATCCCTTCCTTTCCTAACCAGGTTACAATTTCTGAAGGAATTTCCGATGCCTGACACTACAGTTACCTGCATGTATCACTATGTGTCGCCCAGAAGGCTGGGTGTTTGTCATAAGCTGGTGCCCATCTTTACACACCATTTATGGTCTTTATTTCCTGCACTCTCAATTTAGCATCCTCCTAACTCATGGTTTGGCAGCAGGTTTTTTCATCTGTTTGGGTATAAAGAGTCCACAATCTTCCCCTGCAGAGTTGCATCAGGAACACAGGGTGAGCCATGAAGAAAGGTTTGGATCTGTCTGTCCCTGCCATGGAGGGAGATGCCTTCTTTGCTCCCTGGGCTTCAGACACCATCCAGTGTCAGGGATCTGAGAACCACAGTGATGAACGGGAGGGGCTTCCTGTTTGCACAGCCAGGCCATGATTGTTCTTGGAGTGGAGCAGCCGGTTGAAAGGGCTGCATTGACCTAGCTTGCACTGAGCTGTGATTTATTTACAGCAGGCCCTGAGGCCTTTGTGCAGTCTGGTCCTGCCATGGTGCCTGGGCAGCCAAGGCCCCTGTGCCAGACACCACTGGCCTGATAGGAGCCTCCTCCCCCAAGGCCAGGCCTCCTTGAGGAAATTGTCAGGCAAAACAATGCAGCTAGGTAACACAGCGCAGTAATTATTGTTAATTAGCATTTACTTTACAGATCCATATGCTAGGTGCCTCATGCTGACTGTATTTTCCTTTAGAAGTCTGGCTCAGAGTTCCTGGATTAAATAAATGCATTAACAATGATTCCTTTCAGTAAAAAGGGCAAGAATAGGAAGGTTAGCTCAGGATAACCAGACAGGGTGTTCATTTCTCACATCAGCATGGATTCACAGAGTCCCAGAGAGAACAGGGGGGAGGGGATTGGGAAGAGATTAACCAAAGATCTTATATGCATATATACATTACCTATGGACACAGACAATAGAGTGGTGAAGGCCTGGGGTGGGGCAGGAACCAGGTGGAGGGGGCAATAAGGGGAAAAGGGGGGGCATCTGTAATACTCTCAACAATAAAGATTTTTTTTAAAGAGTTAAAAAAACAAGATCAGTCAAGAGCTGGTAATCAATGAATCGTGTGATGGGTACACGCTGGATAACTGTGTTATTCTCTCTACTTTGGTTTGAAAATGTTCTTAATAAAAAGTTAAAAGCCCTGGCCAGTTGCTCAGTGGTTAGAGCGTAGCCTGAGAATCAAAGGGTCATTGGTTTGATTCTGATCATGGGTACGTCCCTGGGAGGCAACCAATTGATGTGGGTCTCTCACATTAATGCCTCTCTCTCTCTCTCTCTCTCTCTCTCTCTCTCTCTCTCCTCGCTCCCTTCCACTCTCTCTGAAATCAATGGAAAAATATCCTCCAGTGAAGACTAACCAAAAAAAAGGAAACAAGTTAAAAATATATACTGGTCTCTGGAGGCCTTTGAAAAGACTCTCTCTCTCTGTATACATTTATTCATTTCTCAAGCAGGAATTATTATGCACTTACTGTTACAGTTACTGTGGCTGCATAACAAGTTATACCCAAAACACAGTGGCTTAATATAGTGACATATCTGTTTTGCTCATGAATCTGCCACTCAGCAAGGACTACATGGAGAGAGTGCAGCTCCTGGCTCCACACACCATCGCACAGGGAAGGGGCGTAAAGGAAACACGTGACCTCCCGAGTGGCTTGGGCTTCCTCACCGGGTGGCTGGGCTCCAGTGGAGCTTTCGGAGGTCCTCCTTCTGACCCAGCCTTGGAAGCCACAGAGCATCCTGCAACCACATGCTACTGGCCATGCTTCAAGCAGGAGGAGTAAGATGGGGAGAGTCTTGATTAGAGTAGGAGGTTCTAGAAGACGTGTGGAATGAAAAATATTGCCTGGACCATTCTGAGAAAACGCAATCTGCCACCCCAGCTGACTTTGAGCAACCAATGCCCACACCACCCCCGTGGCTCAGCTTTGTACCTGAGACGCCAAATTCTCTGCCTCTTGGGGGGCACAGAGACCAGTCAGTGGCTTACAAACTATAAGGGTTAGTTCCAGTGGGTCATTACATCGTTGCAAAGGGTTTTTAACAACCTGGATCACTGACTGCCAGTGTCTCCAAGGCCTTGGGCTCTGGGCGGCAGGAGCTGGGCTGTGCAGTGAGGTTTTGGGGAGCTGGAGTTGCATGCACTGCCCTGCCTTTGAGTGGGTGATTTGCCTGGAAGCCCCAAGTTCAGACCCACCCCCCTCCTCTGCGAGCATTTTCCGCTCTCAGCTGGGAACAAACCCTTTCTCCCCAAAGCTTTTCTTTGGTTTGGTTTGTTTTTGTAAAAGTGCAGACCTTATTGGGCTTGAACTCAGGCCCCTGGCTTTGCAGTCTTGTCAGGTTACTTACCCTCTCCGCTGAGTTTTTTCCCTGAAAAGCGAGGGTACCGTGTTCTTAGGTCACTGGGAGAGTTAATGAGAGGCTGTGCCCCAAGGGCTTGTTTGAGGTCCCAGCGCCGCAGTCTGCGTTTGGAGGTGGGACTTGAGCGAACCAATCTCTGCTTTCAGCGAGCCGGC